TCTCGCTATGCAGTTCAGGCTGGCCTTGAGCTCACTTTGTAGCCCAGGCTGGTCTTGAACTCGCAACGATCCTCCTGCCTCAGCCTCCCAAGTGCCGGGATTACAGGCGTGCGCCACCACGCCCGGCTACATTAATATTAAACTTTTAGATTGCCAAAGTAGCCCATTTAGGAAGAGGCTTTCACAAATCTTTTTGGGGCTGCCTGTAAATTCTAAACCTCACCCAGGCACTCTGTGTTTCTAAGAGCCCCTGTTTTAGACATCGTGTTTCATTGGCAGAGCATTGTCTTATGTTGGGGCCCAGAAAATACATTTATTCTTACAATGCCCAGTGCATGGGAATGCATATAGCAGTTGCTAAATAAATGCTTGTTGAATTTTTAAAAATTTTCAGTCACTGGAATTTGATTCCATAAGGCCTCTAACAGAGACTTTAAGAAAGACTTCCTCTAGTCTTTCTAGAGGAAGAGTCAAATTATAAATAAGAACAACCATAGAAATCATAGTCCCTGCCATACTTGTTACTGTGAACTGTATATGTTGATGACAATTTCAGATATTTGTATTCAGGGATATCAGGAAATAGAGCAGAGAGATAAACTGCAGCTTTTTAAAATTAAGATATATGTAAATTTGAGGAATATATTAGGAAGAAAAACTTCCAGTAGCCCAGCAAAATCAAATTACTACACAACAGGGTTTTTTTTGTAGTAACATCCCCAAGATCCAATTTTAGTTCATTAAAAATTTTCTTCTTAAAGTGCAAGATTTCAGCAAGACATTCAGTGGGGAAAGTTTTCATGTTCGTTACCATAAAGTAAATAGTTCCTCAGAGTGCCTGGCATTTTCAGATTAAACTGTTCACCCTACACTACAGTATATCCTATGCCTGTTTTAGGGAGCAATTTGTTAACTGTTTGTTAATAAGTATTACATAAAAAAGCATTCTATGGCTTGAACTAAGTTTAGCTGACTTCTTTCCTGCAATATTTTTCAGAGAACTTGATTTTCAAAATACTCAGCTAATCCCCAAGTACTGTTTAGAGTATGCAGCATTTTCCAAACTCGTTTGCTTATAGGGCCCTTTACTTGAAGGCAGGCCACATGTTAAGGTCTGATTCCTTACATGAGATACCAATAGTCAAAGTATAAGAAATATACTTAATAGTAAAACTTAACAATGTGATTTTCTTCTCGATGATTCCAAAGGTACTTCAGGATCTTGTAATACATTAGGCTAGGTTGGCCATGTGAACTTAAATTTGAGCATTACTAAAAATACTCTGTTTATTTCAGGGCTTATAGTCTGTGTGGTTACAGATACGGAATGCTGTGTTCAGTTTGAACACTTACAGTTTTGTTTATTTGTAATCATTATGAGCTTTAGCTGTAACATTTCAATATTTTCTTATCTGTGATTTACTACATTTCCCTTTTCCTTAGCTAAGATTTGGGCTGCCCTTGAAACGTCTGCATGGAGGGGAAGGTGTGTTCACGGAGGCGCCTTTTGCACACACTGGGGTGTGCTGTTCACAACTGGTCACACCCTCCCCTCAGTTTTACTAATCAGCTGCTGAGGTAACAGTCACGTCTGTGTGGCCCTGTCCCTCTGGCCTGGCACACAGTAGGCCCTCTCTCAATGCTGGTTTGGTGAGAGGATTGTGTAGAGCAGGCTGGACGGCTCATATAAAGAAATGGAGAAACCAGTTTTAACTAGAGTGAGGCTGTGAAGGTTGGATTTGGTTTTGTGGAAATCCCTGGTTATTGCTCTTCCCAACGTTGTTGCCAGGGAATGATATCCTTCCACCTCAGTGAGCAGCATGGATTTCCCTGTAGAGATTGCAAGATTACTGCGCTGCAGCAGGTGACTGATAACGATAGGCCCCACTCAGCCCAAAGCTGGCAGTCAGCACTCACCAGAGTCTGTGGACCTCTCCAGAGCCTGTGTTTCCTTGACTTCTTTTGTTCTTTTTAACTCACTTTTATTTTTTACTATCTTCCCTTCTCCTCCCTCCCTCTTCCCAGTCTTCTTCCTGACAGCAACCCTCTTCTTCCACAAAACTGGCCATGCTAAGCAGTTTAGTCAATTTAACCAGTTTAGGCAACCAAAGGTTAGTGGTTTCCTGGTGTTTCTAGCCAAAGAATAAAATGTATTGCCCAATCTTAATGTACAAGTGGATTAATCACATTTTCCCTAATATGCAGTTGCTGACGTTTTCCTCTAAAGTGTAGTTGAGAAAGTGAGACCTCACTTTCTGCTTCTATTACGAGTGACTGTAATTTATGTCTAGAGTTAAGGATGAGAGTTCAGGAAGGTGTGTTTCCTCTTCATCATATTCTTATGCCTTTTGGTATAAAGAATCTCATTATCTTTCAGGCTTAGCTGCAGAGACTTTTTTTAAAAAACATTTTAAGTTCCTTTTATATACATAAAAAATTTATATCCTATATATATATATATATATATATATACACACACATATATATATATATCTCACAATTCTGCCAACTCAGACCTGTCCCAAGCCAACCTTGACTCTTTCCTTTTTGCAGTGTGTGCCGTAAGGGGGCCCGAGGTCCCCTCTGGCACAGATACTCCCTTTGAAGTGGCTTATAACATTGGTTTTCCCTGGGATGGCTTGCCCCTTTGGGTTGTGTTTTTAAACAGGGGAAGCCTCATTATGTGAGGCCACATGAGGCAGATGTCTCACAATAACCTAAAATGCCTGAAAGGTCAGACTATTTAAAACAATTTAAAAAAAAAAAAAAAAAAGGAGGGAGAACTTACTTAGGACATGAGTAAGCCCTTAGTCTTGCCTATGGTCTCAGCCATGGCCTGGTTTCTCTGTGCAGTCAGGTGATGGACTCTAAAGTTCTTAGAGTGCAGACTGTTCATAGCAGTAATACCCACTGTTTCCTGGTGCCCTCTGCCGTAAGCACTGTGCCTTACAGGTGTTATTTCACATAATCCTTACAACACTGAGATGATGAGTATCATTTTCCTTTTGCAGGCGCTACAGA